AATATCAACCAGTGAGACCAGCTGTGGTTTGCTAATACCTGAGAAGCTGAACTCCTGCCTGCCAGATCAAGAACCCTGCAGCCTGAGGCTTCATCCCTGTTCACTGCTTTTTTATTTCTTCTATATTTCTGCTTTGTGGAATTTTTCATCTTGTTTTTGAGAAGGACAATGTCTTTTATTGTGTATTTGGAGCAGAACAGAGAGCTACTTTGAAGCATGAACTTACTGTGCCAACTTCACTAAAGATTTTTTAACTTGAAGACAACTTAATCAGATATTTTAGATATTTCTTCCCTCTCTTCTCATCGCTGCCCCATTCCTGGAGGCATTGTGAAAGGTAGCTTGGAAGGGAGACTAAAGACAAGTAATTTAGGATGACACTGGCCACCAGTGATTGAGGTCTGAACCAGGGGAGATGGAGAAGAGAGAATGGATTCAGAAGTTGTTTACTAGGTATAATCAATAGATGTGAATAACCAAACTGGGGGAAATGTATGTTCATATTTCTAACTTAGAATAGAGTTAAAAGTCAATGAAAAAGGAATATGGGAAGAAGAGTAGATCTCGGGAGGGAGATGGGTTAGGAATAGAGACAAGAGTATGAAGGTATTTTATAAGTATTTGAAGCCTATTACATAGTTTTTAAATATGATTTTATGATATGTGTTTTTCCTGGTGGTAAATCTAAATGCCCTGCATCTTTGAATTTACAATATTTTCAGCTCTCTTTACGTAATGTTTACTTGTAAGCTTATATAGCCTCCCCTCCAGTGTTTGGGAAATTTTTCCTCAACATATTCATTCATTTCACAAACTTTTCTTAAGTGCTTCTTAAACAAGTATTGTTCTCGCCTTCACAGATGTTATTAGTCTGATGTAAATGTGCAATTACAAACTGTGGAAGTATTCTCTGAGACAAGTGTAAGGTGCTAAGGAATGTCTGAAAGCAGGACCTGACCAAGTTGGAGCCTGTGTAGGGCATGCTGGGAGGGAGGGGCTAACTGTCAGGGGAAGGCCTCCCCAAAGAAGAGAAATTGAAGTGATTCCACTGCCTGGCACTCTGTCCTGTGTGGCTGGCTTTTTCTTGTTCAAGACTAAGCTATGTCATCTCCTTAGACTTTCCATGACTGCACCCAAATTAATGTTTAGCATATTGCCCTTCTTTATTTCCTTTAAAGCATTTATTTTTTTATCTGAAATTGTCTTGTTTATGATTATTGGATGTTTCAGTCAACTAAAATGTAAATGCTACTTGTGCTCTCATTGCTTAGACCATTTTCTGAAATAGAAGCGCTCAAAGAAATGATTGACTGCAGAAGTGAATGTCCTTGGATGATCTCTCATGCAGTTGCTCTAGTAATTTGATCTCCTCGTCCTTTACTTTGTGTTGGGACAACTCTTGAGGTTGGCTGTCTGCTTGTTCTTTTTTCTATCATGTTGATCTCACTCCTACTCTGCTGTGTTTAATGGAGGTGGCCAGTTGTAGTGTTGCACCCTACGGCCAAAGTGATTGGCATGTGATTGTTTCAAGGTGGGCAATCAGTCATTCTCCTGATACTTCAAGTACAAAAGAAGGAAGGAGGAAGCTTCTCAGATGTCAGTGTGAGGTGTGAATCTGGAGCTGTGGCCATCTTCATATCTAGATAAAATAAGCCAATCTGGGGGTAGGGGAAGAAAATGAAGGCATTAGTTAGAGATGAGCAGAGATAAGAGAGGAAGAGAGGGTTCTGGTTTTCCAGTCTCTGCTTCATATGTACCTGAGGCCTGGTTGCCACCCTTGGCTTTCCCATGACTTTTGTTACCCAGTTGAATTAGAATTTCTGTCACTTGTAACCAAAAGATTCCTGATTAAAGCAGTATACTGCTGTATCTTCATTTTAACCTTTACCTCAACTAACAACCCTTCATCTTGATGTGTTTTATGTGATTTCCTTGGACACTCATCTTTTGGCATAGTTTCTTGTTTCAGAGAATCCATGTGTTCTACCTCCCTGCTTCCATTTCTTTCTTTTGCTGCTTAAATGTATTCTATTTCCAGTACTATCCTATTTCAATACAATGCCCTCTTTCCTTTCTTTTCAGAAACATATTGTTTAGAAGTAGATGCCTTCTCATTATTACTATTGTTATTATTTAACTGTTAAAAGCAGGTTTATTGAGTTCTTGGATTTTCTCACTCTTAGCTTTGATGCTTTAGAACGGCCAGATTATAGTACCCTGCATTTCTGGAGTGGGAGAGAAGTAGCCAGGGTAGGAGGGCAGAAGCTCACTTCTGTGGGATTTCTTCCCTATGACTTGTCTCTTAGAACTATTGCAGCTGCCCTCAAAATTGCACTATTGCACACAGACTCCAAGGACAGTATTCCACATCTGTCCCATAATTTCTAATTCTAACTTAATTGTAGGAGTGTGGCAAGAAATTATTCCAGGAAAAGCAACTTTATAGGCAGCTAAGTTCTAAATTGGCTCTCAGTATCTTTCATCAATCTGGTACCATTTGTTCTATGTTGGTGGAAATTACAGACTTTTGTGTTTTAATGGATTAATTTACTCAGTAAATATTTAGTATCTACTATGTGCTATGTGTACGGTTCTAGGCTTTTCTGCCCTCATGCAGTTGATATTCTTGGTGAGGAAACAAACCATAAACAAACAATAAATATATAATATGTAGTGATAAATGCCAAGGTAAAAAATAAAGCAGCATTAGAGAAGAGAGAAGAATGAGGTGGGGCTTCTTTTAGAGAGGGTGGGCAGAAGGCAGGCCTCTCTAAGGAGGTAACATTTGAGTAGAATGAATAGGGGATCTAGCCATGCAAAGAGTTCCTGGCAGAAGCAGCAGGCAGCACAGGCCTCTAGGGGGTGAAGAATGTGGTAGGATTCTGGGATTGCCCAATTGGCTTTAGGGTAGATAGAATGAGGGGGAAATAGAAGGAGATGAATTTCTAAAGTTAAGAATGGGGAAAAAATGTTTTTCATTCCTCCAAATTTACCAAGGGAAAGATAGTATCTGACATAGTGTCCCCAAAGGCTAAAATTTCACAGCAGACTTCTGTTTATCATATGACATTGAATAGTAGCACAAAATGTTGTGGAATTTCTTGGTTATGGACTACAAACTAATCATAGGAAATTAATGGTGGTTAGAAGATTTGAAGCAGTTACAAAATAATCTTGGAAGGATGAAATAACTTAAGAAGTGAGATTAGATAGAATAATCCTGGAAAAGATGATAACTTGAATTAAGGTTTCTGACACTGTCAATACCTATCCTTAATGAAGTGACTGGCAGTTAGCAAATATTGCTAGCCCCAAATAAGCATACTAGTGGATCTTTTTGTTTGTTTGTTTTCTTTTTCTTTCTTTCTTTCTTTTTTGAGATACAGTCTTACTAATATTGCCCTTGGTAGAGTGCTGTGGTGTCACAGCTCACAGCAACCTCAAACTCTTGGGCTCAAGTGATTTATTTGCCTCAGCTTCCCAAGCAGCTGGGACTACAGGTGCCCACCACAACACCTAGCGGTTATTTTGTTGTAGTTGTCATTGTTGTTTAGCTGCCCTGGGCTGAGTTCTAACCTGCCATCCTTGGTGCAAGTGGTTGGTGCCATAACCACTGTGCTACAGGCATGGAGCCAATACTAGTGGATCTTTAGGGACTTTTCATTTTACTTCTAGAAGCTTGGGAAGACCTGACATGTTCATGTTGGTTGGTCCCAAGATACAAAGATTTAGATGATTGCCTTTATCATTTCTTGTGGGAGAAGGTTGAGAATAATACTAATACTATATATTTGAGTGAATTATAGGTACTGTGTACTTTTATATCTGTGAATTATACTGAACTGAAGAACTGCTTTTCAAATAGGAGACTCAGGCCCAGACAGACCACCTGACTATGTCATACAGATAGTTAAGGACAGCCATCACTAGAATTCTGTTCTCCAACTGTGCTTTGTTACTCTATCAATGAAAATAAGTTGTTTTGTTAGGATGTATGTCAAAGAAACCAGTTGTGCTCCCTTTTCTTGTCTTGCCCCAATTGAACCCCTTTAATGCAACAGGTATTAACGTTGTGCCTGCTGAAATATCTGCCTTAGTCCATCTTATACCATAGACTGGGTAATTTTTAAAGAACAGAAATTTATTTTCTTACACTTCTGAAGGCTAGGTAGTCCAAGGTCAAAGGCACCAGCAGGTTTAGTTGTTTGGTGAGGATTGCTCTCAGCTTCCAAGATGATACCTTGATGCTGCATCCTCTGGAGGCAAGGAATGTTGTACCCTCACACGATGGAAGCAGAAGGCAAGAAAGAGACAAATGGCCGGGTCAGGCTTGAACCTGCCACCCCCTTATATGAGGCCAGTGCCCTACTTCTTGAGCCACAGGCACTGCCCACAAACGCTCTTTTTTCTAAAGGCCTTTGTCCCATTCACAAAGGAGAAGCCCGAAGGGCCTAATCACATCTTAAAGGCCCCACCTCTTAAGAGATTACATTGGCAACAACTGAATTTTGGAAAGGCTCCATGCAAACCATAGCAATCTGTGTCTATCTCTATTTACCACTCTTCCTTCCAGGCACATACAGTGTTTTATTTTCCCCTGTGCTTTACAGCTTAGACTCATACTGTGTATATTACTTTAAATCTTCAGCCACGTATCATGGTCATACATCTACATCAGTATATCTAGATCTACTTCATTCCTCTTCTTTGTGTGCCTGTGTTGTTTGATTATTGCAGAGCATGTATTGCTTTTAAAAGAAAAATCCCATAATGTATTTAAAGTGAAAAGCGTATGCCAGCATATGATTTCATCAAGTATTAATTATTTATTTACTACTTAAAGTTTAGGAAAACAAGTATATTTACTGGCAATTTCTTGTTTGCTGCAGGTTTCTTTCACTGCTCACATTTTCATTTTTTCTTCATTTTCTATAGAATAAAAACTGATGATAGCCTTGATTAGTATTTCCCTTCCTAAATGTATTCAATATTTTTTTTAGGTCATTACATTCGCGAGAAGTCTAAGCAAGTCATAACATTGCTGATGGATGAACAGTTGCTATATAAAGAGAGGGAAGTGGCATGTCGGACTAGACGGCGAACCTCCTACTCTATGACATTTCCTAAAAAATTACCTGGTACGGGTAACTCACCAACAGCATGTGCTTCTGCCCCTACACCAGAAGTTCCTGCTTCAGAGAAGAAGCATAAGCTTCTTAAGGTTGCAAGGCTGCGTAATAAAAGTGCGTATACTGAATGTTGGCCTAAAGTGCAATAGACATCATTTAAGAACAATTAACACATATTATTACTAAATTATTAGTAATATATTAGTTCTATTATTACTATATTAGATTTCATACTATAGAGAACAAAGATAATTTAATTGTAAGATTTTATTCATAACTAAAATGTGAAGTATTTTTTTCTGAGACTTAGTGTCTGGGTGTGTGTGCGTGGGTGCTATTTGATTGTACAAAACAAGAAATTGAAATTTTCTGAAATGTGCCTCAAAATCCTAAAAGCGCTTTAAAAATTCTTCCAGGACAATACTTTGCCTAAAACTTTAAATCTGTATTACTGAACTGTTTTAAAAGAAGAATGTATTTATAATGTTATAATAGAAATCAGCAAGAAAATGATATCTTTTCTACAAAGTTTGCTACAACTTAAAAGAATGCCATTTTCCCCTTCTCTTGTACAAACTCTGTTGATAAATTATGTATGAGGAATGTACAATTTGAAGAAGCAAAAACATTAATCCATTCTGCAGCCCATGGATCAAGGAGTAATTTTGACTTTCAAGTCTTACCATTTGAGAAATAGTGATTCTTCTGATGGAGCTGGGCAAAGTAAAGTGAAAAGCTTCTGGAAAGGACTCCCACTCTAGATGCCCTTAAGAACAATTATAAGGACAAAGTATCAACATTAATAGGAATCTGGAAGAAGTTAATTCTAACCCTTATGAATGACTTTGAGAGCTGTTCAAGACTCCAGTGGGGGAAGTAACTTAGATGTGGTGGAAATAGTAAGAGAACTAGAATTAGAAGTGGAGCCTAAAGATATGATGGAGTTGCTGCAATCTCATGATAAAATTTGAATAGATAAGGATTTGCTTCTTATGGATGAGCAAAGAAAGTGGTCACCCTTCCCCATCCCCCTCCCCCACCTCTGTCCCTCCCTCTGTTGCCCAGGCTGGATTGCAGTGGTGGGATCATAGCTCACTTCAGCTTTGAACTCCTAGGCTCAAGTGGTCATCTTTCCTCCTCAGCCTCCTGAGTAGCTGGGGACTATAGAAACCTGCCACCATGCCTGTCTAGTTTCTTGAGAGTGAATATGCTCCTGTTGAAGATTCTGTAACTATTGTTGAAATGCCATAAAAAGATTTAAAATATTACGCACATTTAGTTGATGAAACAGCCGCATGGCTTCAGAGGATTAACTCCAATTTTGGAAAAAAAGGTCTACCATGGGTAAAATGCTGTATCAAACAGCATTGCCTGCTACAGAGAAATCTTTTGTAAAAGGAAGAGTCAGTTGATGCAGCAAAATTCATTGTTGTCTTATTTTAAAATACTGAACAGATACCCTAACTTGCAGCAACTCCCACCTTGATTAGTCAGAAGCTATCAGCATTGAGGTAAGATATTCCCCCAGCAAAAAGACTATGACTCTCTGAAGGCCCAGACGATCATTAGCATTTTTTAGCAATAAAGTATTTTTAAATTAAGGTATGTGCATTTTTTCAGACAATGCTATTGCACACTTAATAGACTGCAGTACAGTGTAAACATAACTTTTATATATGCACACTGGGAAGCCAAAAAACACATGCGACTCACTTAATTGTGGTTCTCTGGAGCCAAACTCACAGTTTCTCCTCTATAACAGGCAGAGGGAGTAGCAGGGGAAAGTTGTTCTGAAACTGGAGCAAACTTGGCCTGGTTTATTGTAAACGCAAGAAGGAAGTCCCCAAATTAATGCTAACGTAACAACTCTAATTTTATCATTCATACGAGAAATTCTAGTTTGTTTTATCATCGCTGATTGTGTTTTTTTCTATAATGATATTTTCCAGGTTTGTGAGACATCCTTATTCACTACACTGTGCTGTGAATGGCTTTTGACTGTTTTTACAAAAATCATTCCACCTTCAAATGAACTTTCACTACAATTTATTTTTTTAATACTATAAACACATGTTGCATAGCTGCTTACTATATGCCAGGCACTGTTGTAAGCATGGTAAGCAAGTCAAGTACATTTCTGTTCTCACAGAGGGTAGATCTTGTAATGCACTGTGCGCTTTCTTTTCTTTTCTTTTCTTTTTTTTTTTTTTTGGAGACAGAGCCTCAAGCTATCCCCCTGGGTAAAGTGCCATGGCATCACAGCTCACAGCAACCTCCAACTCCTGGGCTCAAACGAGTCTCCTGCCTCAGCCTCCCAAGTAGCTGGGACTACAGGCGCCTGCCACAACGCCCGGCCATTTTTTGGTTGCAGCCATCATTGTTGTTTGGCAGGCCCGGGCTGGGGATTCGAACCCGCCACCTTAGGTGTATGTGGCTGGCGCCTTAGCCGCTTGAGCCACAGGCGCTGAGCCACACTGTGCGCTTTCAAGTCTGTTTTTACAAAACAATGTTGCAAAAGAGTTTTGGTCAATGATAGCATCATTGAAGCAAATCTATAGTAAGAGCACTATTTAATGTAAATAGAGAATATTTGGATATAAGATTTGTTTAAGAATCTATTATTTTTATTTCATTTATTTATATAGACATATTGATCTATTTATATAGAGTAATTGAGTTAAGTAAATTTGGCAACACAATTTCCACGTGTGGATTTGAATCTGAAGCTATATTTTATTTTTTTATTAATTTTTATTTATTTATTATTTTGTAGAGACAGAGTCTCGGTTTGCCACCCTCAGTAGAGTGCTGTGATGTCACAGCTCATAGCAACCTCCAGCTCTTGGGTTTAGGCGATTCTCATGCCTCAGCCTCCTGAGTAGCTGGGACTATGGGCACCCATCACAACACCCAGCTATTTCTTTTTGCAGTTTGGCTGGGACTGGGTTTGAACCCACCACTCTCAGTATATGGAGCCGGGGCCCTACTCACTGAGCCACAGGCGCTGCCCTGTGAAGCTGTTTTTTAAAAGGAAAAAGAGAACTGACAGTCTGGGAGTCAGTTTTCCCACTCCTTTTCTAGAGTGGGAAAAGATAGGAAAAAATGGTGGGAGGTACTCTTAATGAGACAGAAGTAGCAAATGAAAACTTGGAGTGGGGTAGAACAGTATAATTAGGTATACTCACACAAGTGATAGTAGTAGAGGTCACAAATATGCCAGCGGCTTAAACATAACATGCATTTATTTCTCTCCTAATATAATCCATTGTAGGCATTCTGGCACTGACATGGCTCTCTATCACGTTGAGTTCAGGACTATTTGTGTCTTTTGCTTCAAGACACAAGACCTCCATTTTAGATTCATAGCTGCTCAAGCTCCAGCCATCACATCTGCATTCTAGCCAGTATGAGAGGTTGAAAAATACAAAGGCTTCTTCCCTTTAAGGGCACTTATTAAAAGTTGCTTATAATGTTTTGCTTACGCATTTCTATTTAGCACTTAAGTCACATGGACACTCCTAGCTGCAAGGGAGACTGGGAAATAGAGTCTATATACTGGATAGCTGTGTGCCTAGATGAACGTGAAGAGATTGTACTGTTAAGGAAGACGGCGAGAATCAATATAGGGGACAGCAAATAGTCTCTATCAGCATGGAAGAGAATACAAATAAGGAATATATTAAGCATGGTAATATAATTCTGATTAAATGGAAAAAATATATAAATTTGAATATGTGGAAAAATACAGATCGATAATTCAGAGTACTCAGAAAAATTCATAAAGGACCAAATAAACAATAATTAGAATTTCAGTTTGATACAGCTAGTAACTAGGAATCATTGTAGACCTTGGAGAACAGAAGGGATCTTTAGCTTAGTCACAGAACTTAGCTTTCTTATTACTGAAAGCAGCTGTTGGTGAAAGATAATTCTTATTGCTTTGTATAGAAATGAAGGTGATACAAATCGAAGGAAGCTTTGTAAGAGACAGTTGTTTCAATCCAGGTATCCAGGATTTGCCCTGGAGTTATAAAAAGAGGGGAATGGTAATGTTTAAAGGTAGACCATGGAGAAGCAATGGCTAAATGGACGATATGTTGGAGAAGAAAGAGAGAAATTGAAAATTATGCTAACATTTGAGTTAGAGAAAATGGTGGCAGGTGATGGAATCATACAGGTAAATTTCCATTAGAAGGAGTTTAAAGATGTCTGTGGTTATTTAGTTACAGTGAAATGTAAAATTGAATGTGCTGCTAAAAATCTGATTCCCAGGCTTTAGGCTCTAGAGCGGAAACAGCTGTGCCTTGCTTCTTTGTGGTAAATTAGCAAGGGAAAAGAGGTACTTTAAAGAAGGTGTTATATACACATCACCACTTCTTCTTCTTTTTTTTCTTTTCTATTCCCGGATGTTTTTCCCAGGTTTTATTTTTGGTAGATAGCTTTGAGTGGTTTTTGTTAGGTGATTTTGATGTTTGAAGGCATAGGTGGACAATTGCTGTTTGATGGCAACACAAAACTCTAACAAAAAGCACAATTGCAACTCAGCTGTAAATACTGGAGTTAGGCTCTTTCCTTAGTGGCAATAATTATTACAAAAACTAGCTCTGTAGACACTGCTTAAAACTAGATCAGCAAAACATTACCCATGTTGTTCATCTAATCTTTCATAAAGAGCTCTTCAGTAGCATCATTCTTTCTATTGGAACTTTAGCTGTATTAAGGAAGGGTTATTTGGGTCTATGTTAAATGTAATAGCATTCTGTGTTATGGAACCATTTCCCTGCAAACTGTATGATTGCTGTTGAACCTAAAATTAGATGTCAGGTCCTTGAATAATGTCATTTCATTTAACATTGTTATAATGTAGATCACAAAAACAATTCCCAGTCAAGGTAGTCTGTGTGGAGTTTGCAAGTCTTCCCTCCTCCCACATCCCAGAGATATGCATGTTAGGTAAATTGGCAGGTCTATGTGGTCCCAGTTTAAGGGACTTCTGTGAGTGCTCCATGTGATGGAATGGTTGGTTCCCGTCACCCTGAGCAGCTAGGGGCAGCTCTAGCCACCCTTGACCCAGGTAAATAATCATATTGCTTGTTTTTATCACTTTCTTAAAT